GTTTAGATCAGTGTTTGCCAAAGTGTGGAGAGCGTCGATAGAAAAATACGAATAACTCGAACTATCAAGAGGCCAAAATAAGACGAAAATCAAGAATACCAATTTGTTAATGGAGACTTCATTAAAAAATTATTAACGTTTGAAGTTCCGCCCCTACTGAATTTTTTCCTCGAAAATACACAGGATTTCGGAGCTATGTCTATTCACCAAAAATGATTGAAATTGACCCTCACAACCAAAAACAATTTTTTCAGAATGATTTAAAATTTTTTAGTAACTTTTTAACGAAGCTTCAATTGAGCAATTAATATTCTTCATTTTCGTTTTATTTTGGCTTTTAGAATCTCCCATTAAAATTGTTGGCAGGGGTGGTCGAACACCCTGTGTACTACGAGGGTCGATTGTCGAATCAGCGTGTGAAATTGTCCACGATACGATCGTTGGTTTATTTCGGATAAACGTGTCTTGGTCGTAGAAATGTTCGACTCGACATTCTCAGGAATGTATCGTTACGATAGAAACGATTGACGAAACGTAACAGCCGTATCATTAACTAGCCCGGTACATCGACCCAGTTGTTGCTGCGCCATTAGCAGATAACGACACTTTTTCGTGTTCGGTTAGAGTGCAGTCGTAGATCGATGCCGATCGTTCCGCTCACTTTGCTGCGAACGGGATGGCACGGTTTTCCCTGGAATCAGCTGTACCGCAGTCATTCAAACGGCGTTCTCGAAAAGAGGAAAACAGCGCGGCAGCAATTTCATCCCCGCGCTTAAACACGGTCGCGCGAGATGATTGATCTTCCCTCCTCGATTGTGTCGATCGCTCGCGATGCTCCGTCCCCTGTTCCGCGGACAGGTTGATCGATTCGAAAACCGTCCACGGACGTATGCATAAAGTTTTAATACGGGGATGCAACCATCGTTCATAACTTCTAGATCGCGTATAATTTTCGTGACTGCAATTTACAAATTAATACGAACAACGTCCCAATATTTACCGACGTGTTTAATACTATTTAATAAACGCAGCCCCGAGCAGACATTCCCGCGATGAAAACATCGGTGTAAATGAAGCATGACGATGCAAATACCGAAAACGTCGAAACGATTCGTATTACAATTCGCACGGAAGCTCGATCAGAATTCGTATCGCGCGATCCTCCTTTGAGGACGAATAACGCGCCGAAACGATCGTCCCCCGAAATACCGACGCATTTGAGACCGTTCGAACGCGTCTTCCCACCCCCTCCGAGAACGTTTTCCACTTGGTAATAACATTCCACGGAAAAAATGAATACGTTCGATGAGCGAACGACGCAGAGGCCACTGGCGACGGAAATCGCTTCACCGAGGGTTGGTCAGCGAAAATATGAGATACGAAGGGATCCCTTGATCAGTTCTCGCCACATTCTCCGTGTTATCGCCTACCATCAGAATCGCTGAAACCTCATCGAAGTTTGGAAAATATATTTTAATATTTAACAAGTCTCATGACTTGGTATACAAAGTGTCCGCCCATAAATGTCCAAGTAAAAGCTCGTAAGAAAACGCCAAAAATTATTTTCGTTCTCGAAGACGGTGCCACCCGTTGCCCCCCGTTTTAATGGACGCCATCTTATCCGACATCGTTGCAACAGCTAAAAACTGTACGGTTAATTTCCGAGGGGAAGGGAGGGGGGTCCTTTTAATCTAATTTACGACTCGTTGAAACATTTATGCCGCGTAAAATTTGCTTATGCAAATCACGCGCAGTAGTTACGAAGCTGTGCATAGTTTCGCGCGTCGCGGCGACTGTAGAGCGCCGGGCACTTTTTAAATACACGGACGCGCGATGGCGCGATCGCGTGGAATTTTGAACCGCGCCAGCTTTCGACTCACCGAGCCGCATCGAATTTCAATTAAGCTTTTGCGACCATCTACGACAAATATGGCTGGCGTCTCCAAAGACGCTGAGCACCCAAACTGTTTTTCAACCCTTAATTCAAGTAGAAAATTGAGATAGAGTTACGATATATAATGGCGTACTGATTTTCAGTTCTACGTAACTTGATCTAGCTATGTACTGTAACAAAGAGGAGGATCGTAACGAAACACAGAAATTACTGGTCCTACCACTGAATTCTCGTCAATACCACAGCGACTATCGATCCATCGGCATCGAAAATGGTGTCCTTTCGCGGTTGGGTCAGTCGTAAAGACCCGACTGTGGGGGGAAAGCCAGTTGTAACAGTCAGAGGGTGTCTATTACAGTCTGTAAAGCAAAGTGAAACCGGTCGGACGACGAAACGTGGAAGTAAAGGACACACGACACGGAGCCTTACGATCCTTCGCAGCGATCCATAGCCAGGATCGGAATTACAGCGTCATTGGCACGCAGTGCTACGAGATCAAAGGCTTCGATTGCGCCACGCGTTGTTGCGTCGAGGAGACACCGTGACAGATCGAGCTGCACCGCGAGCTGGCTTCCCTTTGTAACGGCCGGGCATAAATTGTCGCGCGTCAGACGCGCGACCAGGGCCCGTTTAACGCGTAAACAATCTGTTTGCTAGCGTCGACGGGCGAAAACGAAGGAAAACGAGCTGCCAAACGAACGAGACACGCTGTTCACTGTCACAGACACGGTTTGTTTCACGGCTAAGCGACGATTCGGCTCGCCAGAACCTACCACGGTCTAGCCTAGCCACAAACAAAAATTTCCACCGACTCGTAAACACTACGAGAATAATCAACGTTTCCCATTTTTCATGTTAATATTTTAAAAAGCATTCCTAGAAGTACGCGAGAAAAGTGTTTGTTTTTTGCACTGGTTCCCCTTATAAAAATTGTAACGGGAGATTCTGGAGGCCAAAATAGAACGAAAATCACGAAAACCAATTTGGCGATGAAAGCTTCGTTAACAAGTTATTAACGTTTGAAGTTCCGCTCGTTCTGAATTTTTTTCTCGAAAACGCGCAGGATTTCGGGGGTATGCCTATCGACCAAAAATGATTGTAATCGACCCCTGCAACCGAAAATAATTTTTTCAGAATGATTTAAAATTTTTTAATAAGTTTGTAACGAAGCTTTAGTCAAGAAATTGATATTCTTGATTTTTAAAATTTTTCCCAGGGAAAAACACACTGTATAAAGTTGCGCGAGCGCCGTTTGCTCTTTCTACTTCGTAAATCCTTTAGATTCGAAAAGAACAATATCGCGACGACGATTCGTCATGCTGCTGTGTACCGAAGCGTGCACGTGGATCCTGGGAGTTTCGTAAAAATCCTGAACGCGAGGACAGTGACGAATTGCCGAGCAGATAAGGGGACGGAAGGCAGGTTGAAACAACCCTGCACGCCGATGAAGACGAAACTTCGGTACGTCGAAGCGTAAGAAGAAACGTTAACATCTTTTCTTCGGCTCGTTAATGACTCGCCGTTCGGCTTCGGTAATTTTTTTCTACCGTGAACGCAACTTCGTGTTTCCCTTTTTTTTCATCGACTCGCCTTAATTGATAACGCGTACTGTTCGCGGTAACTTCGGTGCTCCAGATGTTGGACTTGGTTCTGTTCGACCAACGAAGAACTTCGTAAAGACATCTGGTGAAATAAAACTGACGTTTCCTTCGTTTGCGAACGGTCCTCTGATTTACTTTATTGAGAATTGGGGATGAAATCGTCTAATGAAATAAGTTTTGAGTTTTATATACGGTTTAGTACGTAGCCTAGTCTTTTACCGGGGCAATGACACTGTTCAGAGCTTAGCCATTCCTTACACTTGCGTCCCGCTGCCGCGCCCCCCGTATAGCGCGTTTACTCCATTGTGTATGCATCTGTTTCGTAATGGAGTGCACGCTACAGAGTTGCCCGATTAACATAAACGAATAAATAAATACATTACACGATTCGATGTTGCCGGTGCAGCTGAATATTTCACGCGACCGAGCATCTCCTTTGGCGATCGTCGCCCGCCCGTCTAGCGTAAAGAAAACGATCCGGCGTTGTAAAATGGGAAAGGATGTCGACGAACCGGACGTTCCCGGGCATCAAAAAGTGCAGCAGGCGACTCGATCCGATCGATGGAAGAACGTCAGTGGCAGATACATTACTTATGAACTCATTAACTATACAGATAAAGGAGAAGGTAGTTCCCAACGTTCCATCAGCTAGAATATGCATGACGTTACGAGCCGACGGACTGGGACTATGCACGAAGGAAGGCAGAATTGAATTGCAACGTCAGTTGCCATCGGGCGGGAAGGAAAACTTAAAAATTAACTACGAACCCGCCTGTCAGTGCGCTGACACAGGTATCGATGCAGATTTTGCATAGCTGCCGGCGCATTCTGTTTGCACGCTCGGCTACGCCACCGATCTCTTGTCTACGAACCGCGAACACTCCGACCGTGCATTTCGTTTGATCTATTTTTGTCCCCCCTGGTTCTTTGCAAAATGGATTCTTCTAAAATACAATTCGCGAAGAGCACGTTTTAAAAGATCCGCGCGTTAAAACGGCATTCGTGAACGGAATGGTCGGAAAGACCTTGCCCCGCGAAAGTAATTCCGCTCTTAAAAATGTCACCCGCGTACGAAATTAGTATCGTAAATCGTGGTGCAAAGCAACCATGTAACGATAATTCGTAGACGCTGCGCCAAAAGTCAGGCAACTTGTACCTAATAAATTCAATTATCTTGCCGCGTAACGCGGGTCAAGTTCCCCGGTACCGTAAGATCACCTAGTTCGCCGTAGCTTCCACCGCTTGTCCCGCTAACAAGACACTAGTTACGATGTCGTTACTTTTACGGAAGTTCCCCCGTTGTTAATCTATAATGGCGTAAATACGGCAAGCTTCGTGTTCCAGCTAAAATAACCGATTCTGCTCTCGCCTCGTTACAGACCTCGTTACGTTTCAATCGGAGACGACAGATTCCATTGCGACGATGCATCGGCGTCGAACGATAAATTACCAGTTATTTAAGATTGATTTTTTCCCCGCGATAACGATTCCCGTTTCTGTTGCAGAGTACTTGATGTCAGGAAGTCCACGGAGCTATCCGGCACGATCCCCAGGGGTTGCATCCACGCCAACGGTGACCAGGTGAGTTACCCTGACCGTCGACTGAGAAAGTCTCCGACCGCCAAAAAACGCCGTCGCGACGCATCCATATTCCAGCAGGCAATAACACAGATTTTCGGCGTAAGCCAGATCACGTAAGCGGATTTTTCGGGCGGCGGCTGACAAATCCGCGAGACTTATCGGTTTACCTAGTTGCCCGGATTTCGCGCGGTTGAATTAAGCCGCGAAAAATCGACCGTGCTGTTGACTGTGCCTCGAAATGCGCCGGGCGGCGTTAACCGATTGACGGGCCATCGTGCCACCGTTAACCCAACCGGTTCTTCCCCCCCTGGAAATGGATCGTCCGATTTCCCCTCTGACGAGGAAAAATTTTTTATCGCCAAGCAACACCGCCGATCGAGGAACAGATTATTCCGTGGAGATTCAATAGAGTTCGAGCGTTCGTTTTATTTAGAAATAACGGGTTATCTTTCTTGGCCGTCTGACTATTGCACGCCCTTTCTACTTGCGCTAATTGCAAGCGGAGTAACTTGGAGAATTCGAGAGTGCCCTTTTGGCGATTCTGGTTGACTACGAGAGAAGGGTTTCGGAGCAGTCATCAAAAAAGGATTAATTCGTAGCCCCATAGATTCGGCTAATGCCTTGTCCGATATTTTATTCATTCACGGTCGATATTAACAACAGGAAAACGCGGTATCGGGCCGCAGAAGTGCCATTATCCACCGCGTGGCTGTCGTTTGCTGTCCCTCTAACGATTACAAATCTTCGACCGAGCACTTTTGGCAATTAGCGAGTCATTAGCAGTTCCACGGCCTCGATGGCGATAGGATCGACGCGCGTAAGCCCCGGCCAGGGTAGAAATCTCCCGACCGGATAACAATTCTTGCAAAACGAACAAAATCCGCGGGGCCGTAGTGGGTGGGGGGCCGAGCGGAAAGTTTGGAAAATTTAAATCAATCGGTTGAATAGAGCGCGGACGTGGTTGGAAGCGCAATAACCGGCAGGGAAAATACCACGACGATAGAAGGGGGAACGATGGAGCGGCACGGTCGAAGATGTTTCAATTCAAATGAGCAGAACTTTTAAAATATTTAGAACCTCGTCCTGGCGTTCATCGTATTTCGCCGTTCCCTGCCCTCCTGCCACCCCCGCTCCGTGATTCGATCGTCGTCAGCGACGCGCGCGAAATATCGAATTAGGTTGCTCTTTATTCTGCGTCGTTACTTTTATTCCATTAGCCGGAGTGATAAGTTCGCTCCAATTTCAAAGACGTATTCTTTCCCGAGAGCGTTTCCCTGAAATTTCTTCGACAATGCGCCAGATATTTGACTACCTTTCTATTAATCTGGCATTATTTAATTGTTAAGTGACAGTTTCAGTTTTGATCCAGTGTATTTTGAGAACATTATTTAGAAACTGACAGATTCGCGAAAACAAATATTTTATGACCACTGCATTGCATCGGAAGTGGATTGTTGGTTCTGGCAATTAGTTAACTATAAATTCGTTCCAGTCTCGAAGATGAACTTTCCAACGAAGGCAAATATCGTATTAGTATTAATATTACATGCCACATACGCTTGTTAATTAATTCTCTTTGAAACAGCAAAGCTCGCCTGAATTTCGGGGCAATATTAATTTTCGCCATTTAGCGATATTTTATTTCCGAGAAGGACAAGAGATCCCGCGGATAACACGATTACGAAAGTAACAAACGCGCAATTATAAAATACTAAAAGGAATTTAGATGCGATGAATTCAGTTTGTGGCGTAGAGACCGTGCCTTGTAACGAGGATAAAGATATACTTCGACCGCATTTCCTACCATACGTAACACTCTGCAATTATTTATACGCGCTAGTTTGTTACAGAATTTTTAGTTATCCCGCTGGCAATGTTGCGACCGGTGCAACAATGTTTGCGAACACTTTGCTTCTCCCATCGCTAAAAGCCACGCGCTAGCGTATTCCTCATCCTGACCTCGAATCACAGCGAATTTGCCATGAATTACGTTTCAGGAGATATAGAAACTTCGCGTTCTTATTGTTTGCATGGAAGTCGGCGGAGAATAATGGGCCGCGAAGAATGAATTGCGCCGCGTTTAAGTGATATTTAAGAGCGACTTAATGGAGTTATACTCGCGATTAAGTGAATGCAGCGCGAAGCTTCGCCGCGGCCGAACGGCCACGAGTAGACGGCCGTAATTGCGCGGTTTATACACATATTTTTGTTTTTTTTTTCCCACCCCCCCCTGGCGGCGAAGCTTTAACGAAGCCGGGCGAAAAATTGTCTCGTTCGTGTAATCAAATCGCAAACTCGGCTAACTAAATATTAATATTCCCGGTTTATGACAGAATTCGTGTAACGAGTTTACTTTCGGCGCGTCGAAACGTACGCGACGATGGCCGAAACGATGCCTCCGGTACGCAAATAATACTGTTTTTATCAACGATACGGACCGGTTTCGGAGTTTATCAATATTTATAAAGGATGCAAATCCCGGTCGAGTTACTTTTAATGCAAATTTTAATTCCTCGGAAGTATCAGCGGTTTCAAGTGCGGATATTTCGGGAGCGTCTAATTCGATACCTTTTACCTTCGAGTTATTTTTAATACGTATCGTAAAAAGGTTAACGAGAGTTTAATTGTCCAAGGTACTATTGCGTTTACCTCGACAATGGAGCCATGTCCGATTCGTGCAACGTGAAAAAAAAAGGCGGACTTATGAAGCGAATAATTCCAAGAGTAATCGGGAAGCTTTTTGCTCGGCCACGGAGCGTAGTTCGGTCAATGGCGGACAATGGACGCGGCCAGGTTTCGCCGTCCCCTCGACTCCGATATTTTTTCTCCACCGAGTCCGTGTTCCAGTCTCGAAGAAAGGAAAGGCCATCCGTGTCACCGGAAACGGCGGGTCAGCGAGACGGAAGGTACTCTGTTGCTGAGGCAACGGAGCCAAAGGAACACGCGTGGCCCTCGTCCTTCCTTCCTCTCGCTGGTTCGTGCATCCGTTCCGACCGGACTTCTGTTTTCTTTCCCTGCTCCCCGAAGATTGTTAACGACCCACTTCGTCGAAAGCAGCCAGTAATGACCATTCATGCGCCGGAGGTTGTCGTGGAAATTCCTTCTTTAAACGTTTGAACTTGCCCCCCGGGCTTCGGTAAGAAATACTAATGCCGGTCGTTTGAAAGTCAAATATTCGCCGCGTCGACGGGAGCCATATTGATGGGACCAATTTGTCCGGTTAGTTTTGCGGATGTTCCGTAACCGGTCGGAACACTTTCGTCCGGGATAATGCGACGGTGAATAGGTTTCTTTGGACAGTTAGCGTCCATCCGTGATTTAGAGCCAGGGATTACAGGGTGAATGTACTTCTTTGGCAAGTCTAGGCGATGAGTACTTTATTGGATTTCTCCTAACTTCGAGCTAGCTTATAAATTTCACTTTGTATCGCTTTTACGTTTAATATTTTTGATAAATTCTTTTATTTGCCGGGGTACGGAATTGCTTTCCATGATACGCGGATAGATATTATAACTGTAAACTCGGTGTAGTATATAACGCGCAAATAATGCATTAAAATATCAAAAAGGTATTTGCGTTACAGCTGCGCGCAATTACACGCGTCGAATGCATCGCGAATAAATAAACACGGCGTTTATTTAGGATCGCGTTTCGACAAAAATCGCCGGGAATAAACCGGCCGCGTTCGTCGGGACGATTTATCAAAACAATCCGATGCGTAATTTCCAGCGGGCGGACGCGTTCAAGGTTTTCCATCGCGATGGCGGATCGATACGCTCTTTATTTCGAAACTCCGTCAGGCGGGACAAAGAAGACGTCTACCGTTGGCATTTATCACTTATTAACTGAAGCAATTCAGCTAAAAGAACACCGTCCGCACTCGACCGAGAGTAAAGGCTTTTCTTCTCCTCTTTTTACGCTCCTTCGGATCGTTCCACCTTATCCATCTTTACCTCCTCAATATCGTTTCTCTCGAGACTCCCGGCTACCGGGAGTCTTCCGAAAACAAAACACAGCCATCGTTATTGTACGAGTGGGGATATCGGGAAAAAGTTTCGTCTACAGTATCGACGGTATCCCCCGGTACGTGTCTGTGTGTTTTATTGCTTTCCTTGCTGCAATCATGCGTTAAGCTTTGCAACACTTAACCAAGTTGCACCGATACGTGTAACCTTTCAAGAGTAATTCCACCAAGAAAAGATATTTCCTTCGCTCAAAAAACATACCAGCGATATTTGTTTCAACCGCCACGACTTAATTCCATCCAACCTCGCGAACACTTTACGCCGTAAGAACTAACCTCGTAAACCTCGCTCTTGCATGCTTTAAGATCTTTCGAGTTGTTGAATTGTTCTCAACAGGTATTTAAAACTGCTATACCCGCAGTAATTTCATGTTAATGCGGCTGTAGACATTCTGCCAGAGTCGTTTAACAAGCAATAACTGTTTCGTATGGCGTATATTCCTATCTCGTAATATTTTAAGGAACCTCGTTCCTCTGGGACACCTCAAGGGTAGTTTTATTATTCCAAAGTACCACGGTAATTTTATTCAAAGGTAATTTGTGTTATAAAAATTGAATTTAACCAGCAATATCTATTCCTTTTTCTAAACCAAAACCCTTCGAGCCGACTCGATTCTTAAAGGGCTGCTTAATAAGAAATTGCACGAAACCCGAATTGTTAATGGAGTATCAGCGACGACTCCGGTGAAAGTTTTCACCGAACCACGCTTCATTTAACTCCCGCGTAACGTCCCTTAATTCTTGGAGCCGTCTACGCGAAGCGGGTTGTTTACTGTGCATCCCTTCGTCGCGTATTCTTCGTCGTCGAGCCGCGGTCGCGAACGCGTCTTTGTCTGCCGCCGCGCCGCCGCGTCGGAACTATTTAAATTAATCAACATGGAAACCTTAATCTCCCCAGACGTCTTAATCTCGGCTTCAATTTGTGCGCCTCCAGCCACGTCTGCCTTCGAGCCGCGATTCGTTTCTCGCTTTTACACTGC